TTCCAAAGGGCCGGAGCTGCCACAGAGAAGGCCCTCCCCCGGGTAGTAGCCAGAGGGCATTGGCTAGTAGATGGAACCCGGAGGAGGCCAACCCTGTGAGATCTAATGGGTCTGTGGGAGGTAATTGGCAGCAGGAAGCCAGTGCAGCTCGCGGAGGATATGTGTAACGTGGGTGCACCAAGGTGCATCCACGATTGCTTGCGCGGCTGCGTTCTGGACAAGTTGAAGTCTCCAAATACTCTTCAAGGGCTGCCCCATGTAGAGCACATTGCAGTAGTCTATGCCAATTCATTGGCTGACCTTGTCACCATGTCTCTGCCGGTTCATGAATATTCTGACATGTGGTTCAGCAAATTATGTTAATCCAGAATTCAACAACTAAATTAAATCTATAATGGGCTCCTAGCCAGTGTGTATAAATGAATGGATCTGCATGTATAAATGTTCTCTGCCTTTATTTTTTCAGGGTCCAGAGCATCCCAGCCCAGGGCTGCCGTACACTGCAAGAGGATTCCCACGATATTGTTACCTACCCGATAGCGAGAAGGGACGAAAGGTACAGTGATGCTAAGATCTTGCCTGAGTTGATGTATTGCGTTGGGATAAAGAATATGAAGTTAATTCTCCTTTTTCTGCCCAATCAGCAGCTTAACTAAACAAAGACTGTTAATGATCAAAACGAATGAATCAAAATCACATGAAGTATTAGTACCCACTTTGTAAAGCCTTAGTAAAACCACATCTGGAATACTGCCTCCAGTACTGGTCATCACTTTACAAAAAAAGATGTTGAGACTTTGGAAAAAGTGCAGAGAAGAGCAACTAAGATGATTAAAGGCCTGGAGACTAAAACGTGAAGAACATTTGCAGGATTTGGGTTTGGCTAGTTTAGAGAAAAGAAGGACTAGGCAGGGACATGATAGCAGTATCCCAGTATTTGAGAGGCTGCCGCAAAGAGGAGGGGGTCAATTTATTTTCCAAAGCACCAGAGGGCAAGGCAAGAAACAATTGATGGAAACTAATCAAGGAGAGAAGCAACCTGGAATTAAAGAGAAATTTCCTAACGGTGAGGATAATTAACCAGCTTGCCTTCAGACATTGTAGGTGCTCCATCACTGGAGGTTTTTAAGAAGAGAATGGATATACTCTGAAATAGTGTAGGTTTTCCTGCTTGAGCAGAGGCCTGGATTAGAAGACCTCCAAGGTCCCTTCCTCTATTCTGATTCTGATATGATTGTTTTGGTTTTTTTTGTTTGGTTTTTTAACATTCTGAATTTTTCACCATTGAAACTCCAGCTGGATCCAGTTCAATCCAATCTGATTGAACTATTTGGTAAGAACAATTCCGCAATAGTGCCAGTTATTAGGGAGGTAGAGAGTTTCCTTATGCAAGCAGAAGTTGGAGAAATCCTACAAGATTGCGCAATATGGTGACCTCAAGGACGTCTTCCAACTTTTCAGTAGATCTCAACAAAGCAAAGTGGGCACATAAAAGATTGGAGTCTTCCGTTTGTGGAATGTGAGAAGCTTCATGTTAGCCTCTTTCTTGTCTCTCTAGGTGCTGGAACTTTTAAAGGTGGCATGGAGAAGGCGCTTGATCTTCACCGTAGGAACATCCAGCACAACTGGCGAGAACAACACTGTGGTGTGGAATGAGATCCACCACAAGACAGAGATGACCTCCAATGTCTCAGGCCACGGCTACCCAGACCCTAACTACCTTGACAATGTCCTAGCGGAGCTGGCAGCTCAAGGGGTCACAGAAGATTGCCTGAGTCCATGAGTTTAGCCTCCATCTTGGGCTGGAGTTGCAGCCAAAAGTGGAGTTCGTCTTCTCCATGACTATGGGTGCCTCTCCGTGGAGGATGGCAGCTACAAATCCCCACCTCTGTTGCCTTATATTTGCTTGCCCTTTTGCTGAGCAATAACACAGTCTCTGGGAATGCACAGCATGACTGTGAGGAAGAGGGTTTATATAAATATATATATATATATAAAAAGATATTTTAAGAGCCTTTACAGTCCTGACACAGATTGGTCATATACAATAACTCTCCCTTCCCCTAGATAAAACACAGAAAAGGATGGTGGCTTAATCCTCATATTGTGTCCTTCCATATGTGGTTGCATGGGGGTGTTGAAGATACGGCAAATGGCTGGAATAGAAGGAACACAGTCTACTATTTGTTCATTCTTACTTTCTATCAAGAATCGGATGCTGCTTTGAGGCAGATCTTTTGGAACCAAGGGATGAGATTTCCCTGCTTCGGTGCATTAACAAAATCATGTTGTTTAGCAACACAATCATATTAGAATCTGAATTATATATATATAATTCAATAGCAAAGCTGGGAATTGAAGTCCACAAGTCTTAAAAGTTGCCAAGGTTGGAAACCCCTGTTCTAGCTGGTACCTACAATTCCCCAAATAACATTTAAAAAAATGTAAATGCAGCCATGTGATCCTTCCGTGCTCCCATGCAAACCATTGGGCGTTCTCGCCTGAAATTTTGTGACACTTCATAAACGTTTAAATTGATGATTTTTCTTTTTGCTGTTCTTTGGCTCTGATACCATGTAGAACCACACAGCAATGACCCAAACGTGAGAACATTGCTAACTTGCGAGGCATTGCCCAGAATTCCAGAATTTTCCAATATCGTATAATTTTTTGTTACATCCATATACCTTTCAGTATTCCCATTTGACAGATCTTTTGAGTGCACAGAGTCAAGATCACACTTGGGTATGTACTTAAATTTAGGGCTGCAGGGCTGCAGCTTTTAAGACTAAAAGCCTGAAATGTTTCTGCTTTATGTAATTGGAGAACTAATCTTTTTTTTTATTGTATCAGCAAAAACTGGACTCTGTAAATTGCATAAATTCTTCATATTGGATAACTTTATTTTGCATAATCCACTGCTGCTTATTTTGTTCAACATGGACGGAAGTAAAGATTGAGGCAGAGTCCTGAAATACATTTTTTACAGTTTCGTTTGGGATTTCAGCTGTGTCTGTGTGTGTGTTTGTTCAGAAACGTTTTGTCACAGCTGTAACCAGGAGAAACTTTTTCCTAAAAGAAAAAATTCTGGAAAATCAAGCTTCTCAGAAATCTGAACTGGGTGACCAGTGTGCCATATTATATACTAGTTTGGTTACAGATTTATAGCCTATAGTTATATAGGGTGATGCAGATTTTCCTTGGCTTGAACTTCAGTCATTAAGCAATGGAATCATTAGGTGAGTTGCAACGTTGCAATCATTTTACTACTGTCCTTAAACAAATCACACACCCAGCTTCCCCTTTGACTTTGCTTGTTGGAAACACACACCCCCACCGCCCACCACAAGGTCTCCAATGGTGAGACTCCCCACCTTGAGACCACAGGGTGCTGTAACCATTGTAATTGCATGCAGGTTAGCAAGCACATGAATTTTGTCCATGTTACTACAGGAATGCTGCAACAATTATAAGTGACAACCTGTCATAAATCACTTAGCAATCACTGACCTAAATCACTATTTCTGCCTCAATAACACTTGTGCATCGAGATGTGTGAAGGCATTTCCATCCACATGTTGAATTTCAAGCATTTTTAACAATGTAACTCCAAATTCTTTTTTGTCACTAGCAGCTGTTCAAGCACCTCCCTCAACCCCCTTCTTTAGTCTAAACAGCTAACTTCAAAAATATTTAGACCCAAAAACATTTCCTGAGTTTTACATACCAGTTCTATGCTTTTATCTTAATTTTGAAAAGCAACGTAAACATGAAAACCCTTAAGTCCCTTGCTTGGAGCATTTTGCTTAGTGAATCAAGATCATGTGAAGTGTTAGTACCACTTTATAATGCCTTGGTAAGCCACACTTGGAATACTGCATTTAGTTTTGAGTACCATGATATAAAAAAAGATGTGGAGACTCTAGAAAGAGTGCAGAGAAGAGCAACAAAGATGATTAGAGGACTGGAGGCTAAAACATATGAAGAACGGTTGCTGGAACTGGGTATGGCTAGTCTGATGAAAAGAAGGACCAGGGGAGGCATGATAGTGTTTCAATATTTCGGGTTGCCACAAAGAAGAGGGAGTCAAGCTATTCTCCAAGGCACCTGAGGGTAGAACAAGCAATGGGTGGAAACTAATCAAGGAGAGAAGCAATTTAGAAGTAAGGAGAAATTTCCTGACAGAAGAATTAATGAGTGGAGCAACTTGCCTCCAGAAGTTATAAATGCTCCAACACTGGAAGTTTTTAAGATACTGGATAACCATTTTTCTGAAGTGGTGTAGGGTTTCCTGCCTAAGCAGGGGTTTGGACTAGAAGACCTCCAAGGTCCCTTCCAACTCTGTTATTGTAAATTGAAATAGATGACAAATGACTGGTAATCTAGGTCCTGCCCTTTCCTATTTTTAATTGATTTTTTTTAAAAAAAATNTCTGTTTTGAAATGGTTCATCTTGTAACAGGGAGTTCCATCTGCTAACCCTGCAGTCACGATGGGGACTCTGGAGAATAAATTCCTTTTCTCGCATTCTCTCTCTCTCTCTCTTTCTCCTTCTCCTGACTCCTGTGTTTGTGAAGCTGACAGGATAAATAGCAAACCCAGTTGGCTGCCATTCTGTTTGGACTTCTGTTTTGTTGTTTTTTAATCCAAGCCTTCCACCGTATCCTCTCGCTGCTCTTTCCGGACTCGAAGCTGGTGGCAGTGGGTGGTTTTCTACTGCTTCCATTCAAATTAACAGTGCCGGTTTCTAGCCTGCGAAACACTGGGGAGATGAAAGGGAATTTTTGATGGGCAGGTTGGTGCTATACCCTTGGGATGACCTCTTGGGAGGAAGGCCTGGTTCTCTCTTTGAGAGAAAGAAGGGAGAGCTGCATCTTCAAACACAGTAAAGATGTTTTTTTTCCTCCCCTTCTTAAGACATTTAGAACAGATGCCTTTGAACTGTAATCTCCCTTAGCGTTTCTCTCATCTGGAATGAGTTGCTTGCTTTTCTTCCTCCCCCTTCCCACCTCCCCCCCATTAGTACATAGATCAGGTGGGGAGGAGGCAGGCCACCGAGGAGAAACCGTGGCCTTACTGCACATAAAGCAGAATCTCTCCTGTGGTTCCTGGCTTTTCACAGAAAGGCAGGGAGGAGGGAATAGATTTATGCTCTGAGGTGCAATTGGAAATCCTTGGGCTTTTCTCCCCTCCTCCTCCTCCTCCTCCTCCGTCCTCCCACTCTGGAAAGGATGCTCCCAACTTGAGCCTGGTGGAGGGAAGAAGAGTTGCGCGTGGCAAATATTGGAGCTACGGGCCAGCAGGTTTCATCCCAAAAGTTCTTGGATGAAAGCTCAGCCAGCAGGACGGAGCACGAGTCGCTCTTCCTGCCTCCTGAAGAGCCTTCCCTTAGAGGGTGGAGGAAGGAGGCAACAGATTTGTTTGGAGGAGGGGGAAACTGCCTTTCCCCCCACTGCTTCCTCTTTTTATTCAGCAGCAGGAGAGGGCAGGTGGAATGCGAATCCTGTGGGGCTGGTGTGGCAAATTGCAAGCAAGAGGAAAGGTTGGGGGAAGGAGGCTTTTCCTACTGAGCAGTAATTGGTCAAGGACGTGCAATTTCTGGGTTCAACTTGTTGGCTGTCACATTCTCCCCGACTCCTCGTGTATCTGTGCATTTCTTTCTTTTCTTTTTTAAAGAAGGACTTTTCCAAAACAGGCTTAACCCATGCCCACCCAAAGCAGCTTTCATTTTCCACTTCCTGTGTTGCCTTTTGCTTGCAGCTTCTTCCTAACCCAACGTGTAAAATCCAGGGGTCTTTAGAGGGGGGGAGAGGGGGGAATAGCGCAAGTCATAGGCAGACACGGATTATCTTCTCTTCGAACCCCTGGCATCGCAGGCTAAACCAAACAAACCCAGAAACAGGACAGTTTTCCTGGGGAATTTCAGCTTCTGCTTTTGGACAATCTCCTGATCATAAACTCCATTTAATTATGCATCAAAGTGCATAAAACAAAAGATGGAGAAACCACCTGCATCATGACAATTCTGTGCCTCTTCTTCCCCATAAGAGGTCTAGGAAACAACTATGAATAGTTAATCATCTTCTGAGCTACATCAGTATCTCTATATTGCAGCTGTTATTTTGTCAGCTCATGTTTTGAGACGGAGCTGTGAACCAGAAACCCACCTACCCCCCATTTCAGGGGTTGAGACCCCGTTAGGCAGCTTTAGAAACCCAATATGTCTCACCCACCCACCCCCATATCCACCTCCCCTGTGAAATAATATAGGATAGTGGCACAGTGGTGTATGATCAGCGTATGGGTTTTATGCGACCCCTCTTAAACATTATTATTATTGTTGTTATTCTTACAGGCTGGTGACTCTGACCGAGAGGGAATCCCGGCTTAAGGAAGTGCGCTCAACGTTCTTGTCTACCTACAACAGCACCGTGGGGCTGAAGTTGGTGTCGCCAAGCTCATCGGGAGCCATCGGAGGTCTTCTGGAGCAATTTGTTCGGGGCGTAGGACTCAGAGGAAGCAGTGTCCTTTGACATTTCATCTGCCTGCCTACCACACTGTCTAATCCCACAGGTGAAGGAACCTCAAAGCCATGTGACCCCCCCAAGTGCCAGCTCCTGGTTTGTGTCAGAGCCCTTGGCTGCCAGATCATCTTCTAGACGGCTGCCAGACATCCAGCTCTTCTGGGTCCATCTGACTGACTGGTTTGCAGTCTGTGTTATTTCAAGTTGGGCTGATTTCTACTGGAAACAAGGGGTCCTCTCCTCAGTCTTTTAGGACTTGGCAAGCACTGACAAATCACCAGTAAAATGTGTCAAAACCTCCTCGTTCTGACTCTGTGTGTGTGTGTATGTTTGCTTCCCCTTTACCTACGTCCTGTTCTGAGTTTGGCCTGGAATGGCTCTGAAGATTTTTTTTTAAATGCTACTTAGAATGTGAGTTCTTTGGGGTGAACAAAGAAGCTGCTAATGGAGGTTCAGGGGTTCATTTGGGCTCTTCAGACCAGCTGCAGAATTCTCTCCAATTCTAGGCAACCTAGGAGTTCTGGCCCCAAGAAATCTAGATCGCATCCCCCCTCCCCCCCCCAAAAAAAACCACATTAGTTTGATCGTTCATAGTTCCGTACCTGTGAGTCAATCTTGCCGATTTTGTTTAACTGTACAATTTCATTATTTGGCATAATTTATTTTGGGATTGCTAATCATGTAGCAATGGAACTCTTCCTATGTCATCCCACTCACTGAAAATCTGATTTAGCTGTTATTGCGGCTGCCGAAATCTCGGCAGGCAATACCCATTTGCTTTTAAATAATGCTTTCTTTTTTTCTTTTTTGCTTCACATGAAAGCTGAGATTTTTTCAGGAAGCATGTTCTCTAGTGCCTTTTCTGTACCACTGAAGAAATCAATTATATTTTAATGCTAGCCTAGATAAGAGTGCTTTTTCCACCTTGAGTATAAGGTCTCACATTTAAAAGGGGGNAAGGTAGGGCTGCTGCCGACTGCCCCCCCCCCCCCCCCTCCAAGCCAGGATCTGATTTGTACAGATGCCATTATTTGGCTTTAGGGTGCATTTCACACGTTCAAGGATAGATGTTGCATGGCCCCTGTCTTGGCAGAGGAGGGGCGTTGATCTCACCTGGAGAAGACCCCCTCCTTCCCTTGGGCTCCCCTTCATCCCTCCGCTCCCCCTGCCTCTTCCTCTAGAGGGGGCCCCGAGGAAGACCGTGAACAACACAACGCCCCCTCCTCCTTGACGCACCTGTTTCCCAAAGCTCATATTTCACCCCTGCCATACTCGTCCCCAACCCTGCCTCAGTTGCTCTCTTCTGCCTCGTTTCGGGTCCAGACAAGTCCCCCCCCCCCTTATATCCTGCCACCCGGATGGTCTCAGAGCTCCCCTTTCTTTCTTTGATTTTCCAAGGTGGCGTTTCCTTCCCCATTTCGAGACCCGAGGTGTCAATCTCTGACCCCTCCCCCCCTGCGGGCATCATCGGAAAGAGCGAGAGCACAGGAAGAGATGCTCCGAGCGGCCAACTTCCCCCGTAACTCCGGAGCCGATCGCCTGGGCTTGCTAGCAGTGCTGAGAAAAGGACCCACCCTCTCGCCGGCGCGGGAGGAGGGACGGGGAGGAGGCTGAACAGGAGGCGGAGGGAGCGGGAAGGGCGCCTTGTGCCTATAAGGAGTTCTCCGGCTCCAGTCTTGCTGAATTCCAAAAAGCAGCTCCTGAAGGTGGATTGGCGAGCCGGCTGGTCCTTTGGCGCTTAGGAGGTCTTTGGCGGAGGCTCTGGCGAGAGAGGCGCCTTCTCTTGCCGCCTCGCCTCTTGTCTTTCCAACAGACTCTGGATGTCAGATGGAGTAAATGAGCCAACAAGGGAAGGGAACCAAGCCGGAGGAGCCGCGCTTTAAAATTGGAGATTAAGGAGGCAAGGACAGCCCGGGGTAATGGAGCCCGGGGCCCAACTCTTCAGCGCGGTGACTTTGCTGCTGCTCAGCGGCTGGCGTCTCGGCTCTGCGGCTTCCATCTGTAAGTATCCCAGACTTTCTCCCTGCCGCTTTCCGGCGAGATCTGCTTCTGGGTTGGGTAAGAGGAAGGGGTGAGAGATCCAGAGGTTGGGGTCCCGGGTGAAGTTAGCTTAAGCTTTCGCTGCAAATCGGCCGTCACTCGCTTTTCACGCTTTTCGTAACGGAGAAGAAGAAGGAAGGTGCGGACCGGGTTTCCACCCTTAAAAATAATAATAACGGAAATCTCAGCATCCTTTTACCCCCCCGCCCCCGTGCGACAGTTCTCCGCCTAGTCTGGTCGGCAGGGAAGTTGGCTTCTCCTGGATGAAGGGCTGATGATTTGTATTCCTGCGTTAAGGCTTCGTTCTCCGTGTTGCTGATGGTAACGTGGAAATGCCTTCAGTCTCCTCTCCCTCGCAGAGTGAGGATGCCTCCTTTGGCTGTCTTAAAGGTTTCTCATTCAACACACACACACACACACACACACAGAGAGAGAGAGAGAGAGAGAGAGAGAGAGAGAGACAGACAGACAGACAGACAGACAGACAAACAGACACCCTTTTCCAAATGGATTAATGCCTTTGCTATTTTGGTAATCACAAAGTCACTGTGTCTCTTGTGCTCTCTTCCAATTGCCCCGTTTGATTCTGGTTGTTCTCTTTTGGACAGGATCAGTATCTGCACTGCTATTTCAGGTCTAACCTGATGGGTTTCCCCAAGCCAGAGTCAACCACAACAGCCTTCCATAACACATTGGCTTTCAAACATATTAGGTTATAACTCCCACCTTCCTTGGACAGCATGTTCAATGTTTTACTGGCTTAGAAGTAGTTGGAGCGGCTAGTTTGAAGAAGACTAAACTGTGTCTCAATGTTGAAGAAACATCACACTGTGACATGCGTTTTTTTAAAGAATGTATGAATAGTTTTGGTGTAGTTTAAGAAGAAAGGGCACTGATATAATTTTAAAACTACTAGTCATTCATGGGTTCCTTGGTGCTTTCATGTCTTATACACAGCTTGACACTATTCTGGTTTTCACTTGAAAAAACATCCCTCCATCCTCACCTGAACTGTTCCTTGCATTATTACCGTTTGATGGGTTTAGTTAGATATGACTAGTCAATTGTTGTGATAACGCATTTGTGGGTCTAGATTGCCAGTGCCAATGAGAGGGGCATGGCTATACCTTTTCAGATATTTATTTCCATCCAGGAATGGAATCATTTCTCACCTGACCCTTGAATGTAGCTAAAAGCAGGGAGTGCTCCTAAAGAACAGTCTCCAGTATGCTGTGTCAGAAAGTAAGTCCCATTGAGTTTAAGGATTCTCATTCCTCAGAATGGCTGGATTGGTTAATAATGTGCTGTTGATATGTTGCTTTGGGAGATGACAGGGACAAAATAAAACCACTAGAAGCATTACAATGTGTCAGTAACAGTGCTTAGGAGAAATGACTGGGAACATAACTGTTCACTGAAGTCATGAAAGATTTTAATCCCGTTCACAAACTTATGTAGATCAGAGCATAAGGGCAAATTTTCAAGAATGGGACCAGTTGGTAGGACACATTTTAACCAGTGCCTTGCCTGTATTTTGTTCACTGAGCCATTAAGCACAGGGAAAATATATTTGGAACAAATGAATTATATTCTTTATGCCTTGATGGAAAGGAATGAGTTGTTTCTTGAGTTCCTAATAGCTTTTTGAACACTAGAGGTCAGTCTTACCTTTTTGATTCCCTTCCTTGAAATTGGGGGGAAGGGGTGCTAAAAGAAATATATTTTGGAAATCTACCCAGTTGAAACAATGGACTACTCTGAATAAAAAGGAATGCAATAAGCTTCATAAATGACTCTCTTGTGGGTGTGCCTTCAGGTTGGATTTTAATGAATAAAAATAGTAAGCAGGCAGTAAAACTTCTTTCTACCTGGAGTAATGGCTAATATGGTTTAATAACATTCTGGAATGCTAAGTGGGAAGCGATTTAACCAACAAGTCTTACTATTACCCAGTTTGTAATAAAGTTAATTCGAATATCGGTTAAAAGAAAACTCTGAGCTTTAATGAGCTTTACTATTTCTTGGGTGACACTTTAATTTCCCTGTACCAGTAAACATTTCCACTGAACACCGAAACGGCTCCCTAAATATTTGGGATTTTATCTTTGTAAAGCATAGTGATCAGTTCTTTTATTGTACTATATACAATTCTTATGCATTCATTAAGCAATGAATTTAGCAGGATGCTTTCCCTCAGGAGCATTTGGGAAAGTTATTCCATAAGACAGCCATAGTTACTATTTTCCATACATTTTCCCACTCTTTTGAATGGATTGGGGGAATAGGCAAAATCATTGTTTCAGCTATTATGAAATGTTGTTTTCCTTTGCTTCAACCGGTTGTTGGTCAAAATCGAAAACTGAAATAATAATATCCCATTGTAGATAAAGATGCTTTCCGCTCTTTGAAATACCAGATCATGCTTTGTAATCTTTTAATTCATTCTATTCATTCGTAATTGTTTCATTAGAAAGTAGACAGTTATCCAAGGACTAGAATTTTATTAGTGATGTTTCAGGAAGTATGCAAAATACTCTTTCGGAATGACTATCTGGGTAAATTTAGGGTTGTTTCCATGCATGCTTACTTGATAGCAAGCCTCAGAATAATCAATAGTATTATTGATTATTTGATTATTTGAAACAATATCACAAAGGAAGAGACCAAGCTTTAGGATCCACCAGCTAACTCTGCATATTCAAATCATCAACAGCATTCTGCAAATTTGCAATGTCTTCAGCTGCACTTTAGTAATTGTTTCAACAGAGCACCCAGTATCTCAGGGCTCCCATAAATCTCCAAGAGAAAATTCAGTGCTTTTCACAACTCCACCAATATTTAATACAATCCATACTTGAGCTCTTGGCAGTTTCGGAAAAGAAGAAGAATCAGAGTTCTGAAGGGGATCAGAGAAAGGTCACTTAGATCTAACCTCTGAGTGAAGATGTACTTTTCAAGATTTTAATAGATTAGCCCCATGTCAATCCAGATCATAGGATTCTGTGGAAAATGTTTGGTATCTGATGTGCCAGCTGAATAAGAAATAGCCTTTATACAGTTCCCAGTATTTTATAAGACAGATTTTTTTTCTTGATCTCCTCTATTTTTGTACAAACTAACCTTGACCACATTTAAAATAACATCTATACTGAAAGTAAAGAACAACAAAATATCAGTGTTTGAATTAGTATGTATGTCATAGAAGCAAGGATAGTTTGTGAGGAAGAATAATGAATGGTGTTGGAAATGAATAATCTGATTGTGTCTGGGTCAGTATGTAGGTGTCTATGTGTATGTGAGAAAGAGAGAGCTATTTGCTCCCTTATCATGTGTTAGATTATATCCTGTCTTTCATTTCTTTGATTCTTGGTACACTGCATTAAAAAGAGATTCTGCTGCTTGTTTATCTGCTTGATCAGCATATAACTTGATTATAACATTTCCTGAGCTATTTTCCTAGTAATTTCAACAATGGACTATCCGGGAGGTCAGTAGACAGTGTTACAAAAAATACTTTTCCTAATGTATTTCCAGAAATATTTCAGTCTTGCTCCATCAAAGCCCTTTATTAGATTACTACAATAGTAATGAGATTTCTCCCCAGGATTCTAATTGCTGGGAAATAGGTATAGCATTCATTAGTGTGTGTTTCTATTTTTTCATCTTTCTAATGGGTATGATTTTAATAGTGATATCCTTGTCTGCTTATAAGAAGAACTTTCTGCTTAACCTTGGGGTTTCTAGAAGCTTTCTTATATTTCTTTGAGTAATCATTTTACTATTTTTTAATTAGTAATTTTGGAAGATGGAGTTTGTAGCAAGTTTGTCCATATATGCATCCAAATAAAGCAGTCATTACTAATTCCATTGCAGATCTGTCTGGGTATTCTGGATAAATTGAAATAATTGCAAAGGATGGAGGGGAATATCTGCTGCTGTGATATGTAAAACAGCAGAAGCAATGTATTGGGAGAGGCACATGGATTCAACCATGCAACTAGAAGTTTTGTTTCTGATTTCAAATTTTCAGCATAGTACTGTAGGATTGGAGGCAATGCTCCTGATATACCCTTGGATGCTCACTCAGGCAACATCCTTTCTGTATGATAGGAGGATGCTAAATCCACTTTGTCCTATTCTATGTATGCAGTTGGAACAACCTACATAGTGGCAGTTTTTTCAATAGAACAGTTAATATGTCTTTAACAAGTTTATATTGAAACACTGAGATTGAAATCTTGGGGGAGACGACCACCATCCAGCCTACAATGATTATCACACTACCATACTATGTAATAATTTACCATGCTGCAATAACTTTGTGACCTGCTTTATCGAAATATTGTTCTACTGTAGTCACTGTGAAGGTGGAGTAAACTTGGAGAACGACATTGTTTGCAATATCAATCAGGAAAATAGAGAGACCAGTTGCTACAGATAAAACCATAGTTTTTTTCTTCTCTCCCCCCACACTGAATTTTGTTGCCCTCGGAGTATAGAGAAAGGGGCTTGGTTTCTGAATGCTTACTTTCATTTGATGAAAAGATTCAAGTAGATGTATTAAAAGGCCAGCTATGGAAAATGCAACTGAAAGTGATAATAAGTAGACCAGAACTCAGAGTTTTATTATTGTTGTTATTGTTCATTGCATAGTCAGCCAGATGCTTATTGCCCCCAACCCAAGGACCTGGCAAATGCAGATGTTGTTATTTGATGATGTTAAAAAGGTTGTAAACTGATCTGAATAAAGCTTTATTCTGCAATTGACTGGTGGTGATTTTGTCAACGCTGATGGTGTTCAAGTGGTGCTCCAGTTGTTTTGAGATTGCACCCAAGTTGCCTATCACTGTTGGCACTGTCTTTGCTTTCTTTTCCCAGAGTTGCTCTACTTCTATTGTTATTTGTAATCACTTCTACTTACTTTTAAAGTTCTAATGATTATTTCACTTATAACTTTAAGA